GGGCCAAGTTTAGCCGCCCAAGTTACTGCAACGTCTGGTACCACCAAATCTGGTAAAGTAAGCTGGCTGCCCAAGCAGGATTTCCTAAGTAATTCACCTGGAATCCAGTAGATGACTACGTAGTTCACAGGTGTTATGGCAGATTTCAAATAATTCACTTTGACCGAGAATTTCTAGAGGCCATTTATTCCGATGATTCATGAATCAATCCGCCCATCGATCTGGACTCCATGTACACAAAGCACAAAGAAAAATGGAAAAGGGGATAGCCAATCAAAACGTGACGTCAGCGCACAGCATTGACCTCAGCACTGGCAAGGCAATATCGATTTTTGGGGCATTTTAAATTTTAACTGTTTTTCACACTTTCTACACGTCTGACGACGACCTGGGGGAACCAGCGTCGAGAAGTTACGAAACAAAGTTTGTTCAATTTCCCAAAGGACTGATTTTTCATCGAAATATTTTACATTTCAAAAATGAAGGAAAAGTCGGTCGAGCCTAGGCATTGGTTTGAAATGTTTCCTACCCGGGGCCAGAAGGAAAACGTGAAACGCGATCTGTAAAAACATAGGGCAGACACCTGACGCCCGGACATTTTGCAAAAAGGGGTTTTAACCACAAACTGCATCAAAACTACTCTGGTTATTTAGTATCTCAAATCTAATAGATCCTTCAGTTCAAAAGTTATTTATGTTAGTTGTAACTTCGTTCTTGCCTGCAATTAATGTCAACTGTGGCTCATCCAAAGAGTCGTTTACCAGAGAGACCAGTGGCAAACGAAACCTGCATTTAAATCTGCATGGTCGACGTATTGCGGTATGTTGGTCCGTCCGCGAATTTACTTTTGAAATTCCGAGAATCCCTACTGGAAAAGAGGGTTTGCTCAGGACTTCCTTGGCTATTGATTTTGCTCGGGTGAATGACTGAACATATTTCGTCAAACAACGTTAAAAAGAAGACAACGGCAGCCAGTTATTCAAATGAGTGGACGCAAAGAAGGCCTGAATAGGTAGCATATGAAAATCTGGAAAAAAATTGCAAGCGCTCTAATTTGGACAGTTGACACTTACACTGACATTCCATGTCTCCAGTGCTGTTTGGTCCGCACACAATGATGCGTGCTTACTGGAGGACAAATAAGCGGGCCCCTCCTCGATAATGGTTGAATGGGTGACTACGCGGACACCTTCGACTGCTCCAGGGGTTGTGGTCTGTGCCTCCGGGGACGAAAATCCCAGCAGAGGCGGCACGGTCAACTGGAAGTCAGCACAGTCAGAGAGGCTTCTGGCAAAATCAAAAACAACAACAGGGGAAATTTCTTTGTGCTGTTAGTAGTGCCTGCTCTACCACACAGTGACAATGCTTGCTAGGGATGAATATTTTATGCATGTTATCTATGAAATATAGTTAAATTTTTAAGGACATCGAAAATGCAGCATCTACCGCACCCTCTTCTCCCCCATCTGAGCCCAGTACCAAGACAGAGTCAAGATGGCCAGACGCGGGAGAGGCTGCGGATAGCTAACACAGCGTAAACCCACGCCTAGGCGCACCACCACATCCCCCGGTCCACAACGGACACTGATCAGAATTTTATAAACCGAGAAAAAAAGGGGTAGGTTGCTAAGATCACAGTTGACGCGGCGTGAGCCTAGGGAAATCCATCTTCTGACAATGGTGGAGAACAAAAGCCAAGTATCGGAAGTAGAGTTTTGCTGTTTGGAGCTCTCAGTCTTCTCTAAAAATGCAAGCTTAAAGGAGGAGTGCATGTTTTGAAAGCCAAAGTACAGTTTGCGAACTGTGTTAAGCGTATTTAACCCAAATTAAGTACGCACATAGCAGTTTACGTTCAATAATAAATCCGGGTTGTTCTCGTAAGCTACAGCAGTAGGCATGGATTGAGTTGCATACTTTGAAGGCAGCATGTCCAAATGTATGTGAAAGCATTAAAAGTCTTCGTAGTCATGAAGTGTTCCTAAACAGAAAGACGCATTCCACAAAAGCTGATTGTACGCAATAAGGCGCAAAATGAGCATAGGGGGACGTTTTGCGCATTTTTCGAGAAAATACGATTGCATCTAAACAGGAAAAAAGATACACTATTCATCTATGGTGTCATTCCCGAATGTAATCTAAACGCGTGGCTGGAAAAATGACCGACTAAAGACCGGCATGTTGTCATGTATCGGCTTGGGATGATTTTACATGGTAGTTAGTTTTATTTAAGATCTCAAGCATTGCCCGTATATAACCGGAGCCGCCAACATCAGTGATAAGGTCTCGGTATTTAACGACTCCAATGTGGCAAGTCAATCGAGTATCGTGGTAATTACGAACACCCGTTGAAAATATGCTCGGTAGTCAGTGTCTCAAACAGGGCATGCCACCGCATGGCACTAGCACTCCCCGCCCCCCGCGTGTTTGCGCCATCTTTCGATTCTGCTTTTGATGGGGGGTTCAGTCCTAAATCCGAAACGTCAGACCCAGCCAAATTCTCTTTTCAGCCATCAAGCGCACGGTTTCTTCACCACTGCAAGTGATGTTTCATGAGGTTCGGCGCCTGTTGTAAGTCCTCCTCCATTGGTTCTCGTGCTACTGAAAGAAGACAGTAGGGATCTGTCTCCCCAGTCACATCGAGAATTTCTAACGCCTAGAGGACCACCCCAAACAGGGTTAAATCAAGTGGCATGCAGTGCAAGGCAATAATGTCTCGGGCTTTTTTTTCATTCCATTGGCGCCAGTTTGGCAAAAGGACCAATGAGGCCAAGGAAAACATGCTAGTTATAAACAACTTTTTTTAACCTCTCTTACGATCCGCTCTCTCCCCCCTCCTCACCCTCGCATATAGGGATGATTCGGGGATGGGGGAGGCGGGTAAACTTGTTTAGATGAGACGGAAGTGGACAAAACACCGCGCAAGGGCCGCCCAACAAAGAAAACTCCATTCCTCGCCTGCTGCATCAACAGGCACGTTTAAAGTTCAGAGATCTTCTGCATTAGATGGCGCAAACAACAGCAGCTGGCCAAAAGGTGGGAAATAACTAGAGGGACATGTGACGGGAGGTTGCTGAATAGGAATGCGAAGCTGTGGGCGCGCGCGCATCCATCGTTCACGTGACGGGCAGGCCAACCAAAGTCAGGCTCGTTCCTTGCTGCGTCGTCGTCGTCGTCGCCGCCGCCGCCGCCGCTGACGCAAACAACGCAAAGGGCCTACGTGATGTGTAGCAAGGCCGTGAAAGTTAAAATCACCACTTTTTTGCTCGGACTAGGCACCTATGGCATGGTCAAATGGACGCTCACTTATCGGTTACGGGACTCACTGGGCCCGTTGGGCATTTGGGGCTATATCTAGAGCCCCGCCGGCCGTCGCATAGCGACAAGTATTATATTCAGAAACAGATTGCCAACGAACAGCCACTTCAGGCTTATTAGCCGTCATCAGCCAGCCATACTCAATCCTGAGGGTTGGAGCTGCGACCTGTTGGTCACAAGTCCAACATCCTAACCACTGAGCCATGGGTTAGTTGTCGGTTTCGATCGGTAATATTAACCCTGGTAGATGGACGCGATTGAGTCCCGTAACCGATCAGTGAGCATCCATCTACCAATGTTAATATTACCGATCGAAACTGACAGGACAACGAGCCCGTGGCACAGTGATTAGGACGTTGGACTTCTAACCAACTGGTCGCGGGATCAAGCCGCGGGGGTTGCACATCTCGAGGGTTGGATACGGCCGATTGACGACGGCTAATAGGCCAGAAATGGCCATTCCAGTCCGCCTTGTCTTTGTTCGCAATCTATAAGTAAATATCTGCGGTAGAGAGCATTGGTCTCGGACAAGACCGAAACAAAAAAAACACTTTATCGGAGTCACCCGGAGGCGAAATCTCAAGCAGGCAACACTCAATAATTCTGTGTAATGGTAACAACGAGAGAATAACTTTAGGGTTTATCACTAGGCATTAATAGTTTAAACGACCAGTCTCCGTCAGCCCCTATTGGAAATTCGTAGAAAAATCGATCAATAAATGCCTAATCCCCTTAAAGGTAGTCGACTTCTGATTAAATAGGTGGTGAAAAAAGAGAACATGTTCCATGATTCCCGGGTCTGTAAGGGAACAAACACTGAATGAAAAACGACAAAAATTCTTCCTACGCTCACATGACTGGTACGGGCGACTCCACTGTGAGGACATAGCGCGTAGACATTCGAGAAAAGCTAAACGGTAGGCAGTCGCATGTTTACGCAAGCTATACCACGGAATCAATTTAATTCAATCCTTCCTCACCCTAGAGGTGTGAGGCGGCTGATGCCAACGTCGCGGACAAGCCTACCTCTGAACACTGCATTTGAAAATCTCAATGCAATATCGCTTTTCTGTAAAAATTTTAACTAAAACAAAACCCTCGCGGTGTAATGAAAATTCATCCATCGAACAGGACAAGGACCCCATTGCCCCGGGGAGCGGCAGTGACTTGTGCGCGAAATTGGTCACAGCGAGCGGGTGGGGACCCCCAAAGCACCGAGGTCAGTATCTCTTTCTGCACTCATCGTCGTCGCGGTGCTTAGAGGTGGGAGGCAGTGGTTCATCTAGCGCAGAGCTGTCGTCTACGCGTCCCAAGACAGGGCTGGCTTTGCAAGTCGAGGCGGGGTGCGACCGCTGCGTTCACCACAGCTTCTGGGGTCCATACAGACGACAGCTGGGTGCCAGACGGTGTAAACGCAGCATGACCACCTCGCCTCCGGGATTGGTGGCTGTCAACTTGAAGGAGTAGACCGTTTTAAATACCTCGAGGCGAGGCTGCTGCCTAATGAACAGAGTAAGGACAACATTGTCTCCCCAATCAATGCTGTCCGCTGGGTTTTCTCAAGCCTTCGAAAATGCCTATGGATCCGACGTGACCTCTCCATCGTCACTAAGATTCGCCTGTACCGTGCATCTGTCCGGTCCGTCCTTCTCTACGGTTGCGAATGCTGGGCTTTGCGCGTGGAGAACGAGCGAAAACTGAAGGTATTTGACCAGCACTGCTTGAGGACCATCCTTCGAGTGAAGTTCACCGACTTCGTCTCAAATGAGACAGTCCGCGCTCGCTGCGACAACATCGCAAGGATAACTCAGGCCATCCAGGAAAGACGACTGGAGTGGTTCGGGCATGTTCTTCGTCGTCCACCTCAGGAGCTCAGTGTTACTGGCCTCGATCCGGCACCGCTACCCCATTGGAGGCGTCGAAGAGGGGAGTCAGTTCAAAACCTGGCTCGACACAGTTCGTCAAGACATGGAGGTGGTTTTTGGACCTTCGGTATTCGGTCTACGTCGTTGACGAAGGGAATGGGTTGAGCTGTCCAGATCTGCTGCCGCGGATCGTCACGCGTGGAGCGGTACAATTCGTGACATCATCAAGGCCGGCTAGATCAGGCATGATCGCAGCCGTATCAAGTACAATTAAGTATGATCACCTCGTGCAGCTGTGCGCCTGGTGCGTCAATCAATCTATCAAAGCGACCACCTCTCCTTGAGATGCATAAATAAGTGACTGTCAAAACAATCATTCAGTTGGATGAGATTACAGAGTGTCGGCTTCATTAGACAATACATGCTCGGACAGTGCATGGGAGGGGGAACAGGAAAGGCGAAACTGAGGACCCAATCCCCACGACAAACTAGCGCATCCCTCACTGTAATAAACCTGTTGCGTCTGGGTCTATCACGATACTCTAACAGTCCTGACCTGCAAGACTACCAACTGACGGGTAACTCAGTCCTTCCCGGGACTGAGGGTCAGGCCGCGAATGCTTCCTGATTTCTGTGGCACCTGAGACTCGAGCCACCCTTATGAAACGCCTGATACGTGATACGGGCAGTAGGTCGTGTGTGTGACATGCGCAAACGGGCTGTCTGCCAATCTACCCGAGCCTCCCTCTAGTCATCCTGACTCTGTCTTTCTATCGGAGCAAGGTGATTGAGGAAGGAGGGCGGCAGGTGTTGCGAAGGTCGTCCTCACTACAAACTAACTCCTGTGCAAGTCACTACTGCACCCATTCTGTGGACAGGATGTAGGCGTTGTCGCATGCGACGGTCGAATTGTCGTGTGCTCCGTGTTCGTTCCCTGGTAAACGTCTACAGTTACCATAATAACAAAGGGCTCAGAGTCAAAAGCAGGCGGTAGTGCAAAAGACAAGCGGGGCTTGTTACGAGCAAGCTAGAAGTAAACGCACCACAGACGTACTACTGATGGTCACGCAGTAACGGTTTCTTCCTTACTGTGGCTTTACTGTAGTGGTGATGCCTGAGATTTGTGCGTGTATAGATTGGCACTCTGATGAATCATGCATTAACCGGCATATCGAGTTGGATGCCGCGTACAGAAACCTGAAGGATAAATGGAAGAGAAGGGAACCAACCAGCTCAGACTGACACACGACGGCCGCCAACCGGCGCACACGCCATGCAAGTATCGATTTTTTGTGCACTCTTGACGTTAGCTGTTTCTCGCTTTCACATTTGCTTTCCGCTTGCGTATGACGACGACCTGGGGAACCAGCGTCGAAAATTTAAGCAACAAACCCTCTTGTCTCGCAGACCCCATCTGTTTTCAGCTTATATCGCTTGGGATGCCTACCTTTCAATACTTAGATTGGTATATATGCGCCATGCATAAGATCAGGCTTGGTTAAGTCAATTGTACCTCTGTCCCTGATGACTCGATACTTTGCTAACACCCGAGATCCTACCTTTGGCCTCGAAGCAGAAAAGGGATGAATACGACCAGAGAAGTTACGTAACCGTCTTCATACAAGTCCCAGGAAATCCCAAGTGAAAACGTAGACACCTCACACGGTTACTGAGTTGAGGACAATCGATATGGCCAAGCATAGTTTTGACATTGGTATGACCTTTTAACTGGGCTTAGACCCTTCGCAGGGTAACCATTGAAGATCAGGAGCAGGAAAAAAGGGGGGGGGGGTCGGCAGGTCAAAAGAGATGACCAAACCAGCAACAAACAGTAAAGTAAACGGGACACACCCCAATGATTCTGCGTCCTCCTCGCCACTAGGCAACCACGGCGAAGGCGAGGTAGAAAACACCATCCGTTCTGAGTCGTGGATCAGAGTGGCTGATGAATTCCAGATTGACGACTGTTGCTGCTGCTGCGGTTCAGGCTGCTGCTGTCGGTCAGAGCTGCCCCTAGCGGCCACAGTCGTAGTCTCCGCCAGTCTGTTCTGATTAGTATCACATGACAGAGAGACGACAGTGGGAGCGGCATCACAGAGCGGGACCGACTGCGAGGGGCCAAACAAGATGCCATTTCTGCTTCCTACGGATGAGTGGTGGGTCGATGGCAAAGACACAAGAACTGAATGACACGTTGGCGTTGGAGTCTGCTGAGAGAAGGAGGCTTCCGATTTCGTACGTGCCACTAGAGCGGAATTCGATCGTATCGACACGCCACTCGAATTGCAACAGCGACTTCCTGCTGCCACTAAAAATGGAGACCCCGGACGTGCATCGCATTCCTGAGGAGATGTCACTACATGCAGCCAGGAGTCCTCGGTCTGGGGGGGATAGAAACATGCAGAAATGCTAAAAGATCGGATTGTTTTTCCTTGGTTGAAAATTCTTAAAAACCAAGAGCTCGAACGCAGTACCAGCATCCTCAGTGCATGGCAGGACATGGAGCTCATACAATAACGTCTAACGGTAAGTCACAAACAGGGTCACCTGCAAACCGCGAGGTGAATTTCTGTGACTCAGAATGTCATCTTACTTATCGGCAGCCAAGCAGTGGAAGAGGGGAGTAATACCTCAGAAACCGTAGTCGGACGCACGGCCGGCTGACTGACTTCCCCAAAATGGCTCCCCAAGTTCACTGATGAGCCTTGGTAGGGTTCTGTCGCTGCTTCGGTGGTGATTCCGCTCTTGGGAGCGGCATGGACTGGCTGACGGCTAAGATGCACCGTGTCACCTTGTGCTGTACTGTTCGTAGCAGCCGAAATAGCACGGTCAAAGGTGGCAGAGCTCTCCAGTGTCAACAGAGCCTCGGAGATAAAACCAGGGAATGCTGTGTTGGTTGCACTGGGTGCGTTAGCGGAAAGGGCGTCTAGATCGACCTAGAGTTTAAATGGATGCAACTTAACTGAAAACGGTTATGCGAGTGTAAGAACATTGAAAATGTGTTAGTTGAGCCATCGGAGGGGCAATCCTGTCAAAACTGACAAGGGTGTGCGGAGGAGAGATCCACAAAAAAGAGGAAACTAAGAGGACGAGGTACTGGGTCCGGGGCATCGGTTTCCCGCCCATCGTTAGCGGGTCGTCGTCTAAACTGACAGTTTTAATTATCTTGACTGCTAACAGAGTTAACTGGAATATGTCGGCCATTGTGTACATATTTACGGCCTGAAAAGACGGGAGTTCTGGGTGTTTGCAAGAGGTGTTGAGTGTTTTTACAAGACATTCCCGCCGATGTAATGCTAGTGCAGTCTGAGAAACTGAAAGAAACCTGGAGGCAGAGCAGTTAAATAACACACATTTCGAACGAATTGCTCGAAAAGACACTCGTGTTCCACTTCCTCTACAAAATAAGGCAGATATACTTGCAGAATGCACCCGTGGTTGTTATCTCGTCCACTGAGATCCAATCATTAGATTAATTAGTTGTTCAGTTTCGGTGGGAAATCATATTCACTGGCTTCTTTTTATGCTCTTAACTGGAGTAGCCTATGAGAACTTTGCAGACAGGAGCTACTGACATGCAAAGGCTCAATATTCAAGAGATGCAAGTTGTAAATACTTTTGTCAGGCAGTTAAACATTGTGATTTGCAAGTAGTGCGAGGCGGGTTTCCCTGAGGTATGCCTTCAAAAACGGGTGTCATGGCTTTTATATTAGATTTTTGTTCAGACCTAAAATGTTTACGGCACAGAGGCTAAAGAGGGAGGATGCATAGCCAGAAAAGGTGGCCTGACGGCTCCCCTGACGTAATGGTTAGGATAGTGTCGGGGTTCACGTCCCGCCCTGTCAGTTTTCTCCTAATAAGACCTATCACCTAGTATCAGGATGCATATTGAAATAAACTATTTTCCCTATCGGCTCCGTTTACATTAATGCAGCCTCTAACTTAAAACCGTGCAGGGAATCGAGTACCGGAAAAAAGAGTTTGTTGAAACGACTTTTATTGCCTTATCTTGAGTCGAAAAGCACTATGGGCGAAGACAAGGGGAGACCGGAACTGACATATCTGCTGTTGCCAGCCGGCCAACCTCAGATCTGTGAGGGAGGCAACGGGACATACAGTCTAGTCTTGGGATCTGACAAATCAGATCCGGCCCTCGCCCATGTGAATGGCCGGATTGACCCTTGTGATAGACACCAATCACAGGACAAGTCTGCGTCTTCCAGCCTGGTAGGCAGGGTTGGGAGCGAATTCGAGGCATCTCTTACTTGAGTTATGACTCGAGTCCCGATTCCGGATCGACCGAGTTCTCATCTGAGGCCTAGGCTTCAATCAATTCTCGGCCTGTTTTGTTTCCGGCGTGGGCGATTATTTTGGTGGCTGCGAAGTTAAACCCGTAAACCATTTCGTAGGTGTGGGCGGCCACTTGTGATAATGCGTCGCCTCGTCGCACAGTCAGCTTATGTTCGTATACGCGCGATCCGAACATGCGCCCCGTCTGCCCTGTGTAGTTACAAGGACAATTTTGACACGGAATGCGATACACTACTCCAGATTGCTCTTCAGGCTTTAACCGGTCTTTATTATTCATGATCCTATTGCATATGGTGGGGCTTTGGGGCGGTGTGCAATTCCAACACCTGGCGCCGCAGCAATGCGCTCGATCGATTCTGAAACGCCCTTGAGGTATGGCAGAGAATGCCATATCGTCGGTGGTGTTCGAGTCTTCTGGTGGCGGCCGCCGCGTAGGCAGCGACTCATGAATGCCCTCGGATAGCCATTTTGCACAAACTGGTCGCGTCCAACAACTGATGGGAAAAAGGGATGGGTCGAGAAAAACACTGAAGACAACAGTAGTCTTTCCTAGTCAGTGAGCTCACCAGCCGATCAGTAAACTCTTTCGGGCAGGGGTCTGGAGAATCACACTTATTACAAAGGGTGAGGCCATGTAAGGCACGCGTACACTGGCCGTTTAGCTCAGTCACCTACCACGCCCGAAACCACTTTCGGTCGTTTTTACTTTGTCTGCCATCGGAGAGAGTAGGTACTTCGTATGACTGCCAATGAATAAACTACATCCCGTGGGCATTATCGCTGCTGGGGCCGCTCTGTGGAGCAGTGCTGGAAGTCGTAGCTTGCGACGGTCGAACTGTCGTGTGTGAGTGCGTGGGCGTGTGAGAGATGGAGGGAGGGAGGGATAAGCAGTATGAGAAATGGGCGCAGAGACGGAGGCCTACCTGACACGCCGAATCACAAGTCCCTGGGCTTCGTGCATCAATGCCGCGGTTCGTAAATATCGGACTTTCCGTCTGACAACCCTGGGAACAAATAACGTGCGTAAAAAGTAATTTCAGGTAATTCAAAAGATAAAAAGCTAGAGTTAATCCTAAGGCACCGGCGAAATGCACTGCTTATACAGAAATCAATTAAACGTATTCATCCATCATCAGGTGCAGGCGTTACCGTCGCTTAAAATACACCAGCAGTCAAAAATCGACAGTTCGGACCAAAATGCAAGAGGGAGGGTTAATGATCTAAACGCTCGCAGAGTGGACCATCTGGAAGTCTGAGGACGAGCAGTTGAGGCTCAACACGATACACGTCTAGCCACCCACTTCGCTCTGGGACGCTGTTATGCAACTCAGTTCCCTCTACCATGGCCCATGGACGTGCTGGGCGCCGCAGTGAATAGCAGCATGAACTGCTACGAATCAGCAGAAAGCCCCGTGAAATGGGTCATAGACAGCGTGAATTGAGGCCAGTTGGGAGGTAATTGTGGATGAACCAGGGTGGCGACACTGAATTCAACCTGAGGTCGTCTTAAGCTGGAGCGGTTGACCAGCAATCAAGCCACTACTAGGAGCCTGTCCTCCTCTTAGTTCACCAAAGCGCAAAATATCGTGCCTCAATGCGGTTGCTGCCGAGACGGTGGATTCTCCTGTTCATTCAGACTGGCTGAAAGGAATAAAATTATGCCCAGAAATTGCCGGCAAATGTACCTCGTTGGTCTTAAGAACGAAATTTATAAATGTGACTCACAACTCTCGAACACCGCCACTGCAAATGAATTAGGCTCGCTGTAAGCAGTAAAATACTCAACACAAGAGTAGCGGCGTCGCCTAGCATAGGTTTTCTCTTTTAGCACAAATGCCCAACATTATTCTTGCATGACAAAGAACCAATATCTCCATCTTGCCTGACAAGGACACAGACTACTCGTGCCCAAAGCAACTCGCGGATCGCCTGAGGTTTCTGAACCGCTCTCCTTAAGTCCCTACGTAATGGTTCGGTACTGTTTAAACCCGACGGCTAAAGGGGGCATATCGGAAAGGTGGCACTTCGTTACTGAGGCATTCCTGGTACATGGCCGTATGCCGTCCAGCTAGAACATGCAGCCATAACTACTGTGCTTTCGGCGAGAAATACGAAGACCGCCCCCCATATCATTCCTAAAAGCAGCCCCTTCTACCACCCACTTACTTCCTCGAGACATAATGCCGCCGCAATAAACAAGGTCCTCGCCACCGGCCAAAAAACAGACATCCACACGGGCGCGCGTAAACATCTGATTGTTGCTAGAGACAAAAAGATGGCAAAACCATGCACGAGTTCGGCTGCTCACTGACCTCGGTGTGAACATATTTACTGGGCGGTGTGTTGGCTGCCATACTGGCTTGAAGTTCACTTATACGACGCGCACAGCAATCGTTCTGTTGCCGAATTTGGTCCTGGAGGCTGCGAATTGCATCGGCAGCCGTGGCGCACGTCTCCTCGAGGTCGCTGCAAGAGAATACAACAAATGTGCTAGATGGACGTGCTGGCGTACGTGTGCAGGCAAAACTGGCATCCAGGGGCGGGGCGGGGGGGGGAGGAGGGCAAAAATTTTGGTCAGTGGATGCAACAGCAAACGGGCACCTCTAAACAGCATATACATACTACAACAAGCGGATCGGAATGATGTGTATGACAAGGGGCACTTCCAAGCCGAAAAAGGAATAGGCTGAATAATTTGCCGTCTGTCCAAAACTGCAGCAGCCATTGGATGGAAGAAAAAAGGGGGTTGGACCTCAGATTCAGGGGCAGGCGATTCACGCTGCTGCAGGGACGAATGAAACAGATCGATGAGGCGCGGAATGAACTACGTAGACACCTACACACAAGGAGTAACGAGATAGTAGGATTGAAGAGGTAATTAGTTGTGCACAACAGGAAGCTTCAGAGGCAACAGATCGGTTTATGGACGCACACATCGAAGGGGTCACTGTCAGCCTGCAAAGTATACAAGCTGACTGTATAAGCGTTAAGCCGAGAAAAATTGGTCGTAATCACCCCCAGAAGGTAACCAGCCAAAATCAATATGGTCAGTCAGGGTTACGTCGGCGGTCGTACAATTTACTTATCAGCCTCCCGCGGTGAATAGCGTTTTTCTCGGACAGAATGGTTAGGCAGGAGAAGAGGTACCTTCCCCCGTATGACAGACGACCTTGCGCCAAGTTCCGGGGGTACCTGTTCTCGTGTCCTGACTGCAAACCTTCCCCCCCCCGGAATTTAGCGCAAGAAAGCCTGTAATACTGGGGTACCTATGCCCGCATATTTTAGGGACGAATCAACATTGTTTTCTATTTGGGCGATCTTCTATGATAGTAAGTAACGTGGACCATATCCACATAGTGGCGGACGTTCCTTCGGTAGAGAACCTTTATCTTGGCTAGAGAAGCTTGCCAAACAACCCTCGCTAACCTGAAATTTGATTGTTCAGCTCGCGAAAAACGAGTAAAGTAAGGTGATGATAACCGCATTATTTCCAAAAAAATCAAATGTTCTTCGGGTTCTAAAATGCTAGTTTGTGTGCAGTTTATGCGCAGTTTGGCGCCCTAGAACGCCGTAATAACATCAATGGGCAGTCTTTTTTTACAATAATCCCACCACCTACAGAAACATTCAATTGGTATCTGTGAAAAAGACCACAAGCCATCTGAGTATACAGCAAGGTTTATTTTCAGCCCATACGTAGATAGGAAACGAAATGCCGTTAGGTCAGCCATTGAAGAAATACTTTAGTATTCATACGACCATTTAATACGTTAACACTCAAACGACGAAAACGGTCCCCAAATAAAAACCAGTTCCTCTCACTTGCGACGAAAAATTGCGAGTATGTTCCAAGAGGCTGCATAGGCGAATAAAATATTCTAATTTTCTCCTTAACTACTTTGGAAAAAGAAGGAAAGTCGTGGACATTTTTCTGTGAAATGGCTTAGCAGGGTGGTTTACAAGGAGATGACTGATCGGAAAAGGCTTTTAGTTGAGCAAGAGCACAGCCATCACTGGCCCTCGTAGTGGGTGTCAATTTCTTCCGGCGATAGAGTTTCATTCCTAGGTGGGATTACAGATATTAGCAGACCCGTCATTTGCGCAAGAAGGAACGCCCGGGAACTCAGTACGTAGGGTAAATCTTTCAAGAACAATCCCCTTGTAACGGTTTTCATGAAAATAAATTAAAGAAACTACCTTTGTAGACAATCAACTGGAGACGGCGAAAAATTGTATAATATTCATTGGCGGGCTTTTGCGATGGAGCCGCCATTTCTTTCTGCTCAACATTTATATGAGGATTTTCTTGCGTGTACATCCGTTGGCTTATTTTACCACTAAATACTGATTTTACCCTCTTTTGATTATCTGAACTACAATAGTGAGGTGATCTGCACACTACGCTAGGACCGTTTTGAAGGAAGTCAAATTCGACGCGAATTTCGCGATTCACTCACTGGCAATTCTTCATAATGTCGACAGTTGCAGTTTTCGGCAGTTATCGCTTGTGATTCTCTGGTGTTACCTGTTTTACGTACTCATTTTTTTCCACTGTAGACGGAGGCTTTTGCTGACAATTTTTGAATGATACTTCCAAAATAAACCGTATCTCTCTCTTGTCATCTCCATAGACTTCACCATCTTCAGGAAGTACACAGTAGTCTTACGGTAGAATATTTCTTGTAATTCACAGAAGTGTCAGTGTATCTGCCGATTATACTCCCGCTTCCTGGCATTCACCTTCTCCCACAGATACTATCATATAAAAACCTACATTCCTGAAATTCCTCTGCCCACGAAACCAAAAAGTCACCCCCGTCCTGGTTAACCCCATAATGAACAATACGAAAATGATACACTACGGTTATGTTTCTTCCGTCGCATATCAATCTGATGAACCCCACTAAGTATTTGGTCATTGACTGGTTTCCAGGCCATCTATTATAGTAACAATTTGGGTGACATTTGGTCCAGGGATGACCTAAAATAATTTTCAAACGTTGTTGTCTTTATACTGTTTTAGTTACTCAACCGGTCGCACGTACATGCCTTATGCACTTCAACAAATTGAGTTTGCGCATTTGACCCGAATTTTGGCGTCCTCAGCATCTGCTTGCCAGGACTACACTAGTGAAGGGCGATTACTTGGGTAGTATAATCTTTCCCACCGATTGTTGATGCCGTTAGAAACTCAAGTACATCATAAAGAGAAAAACACGCAAATATTATTTTTATACTCATTTGGCAGCGAAGTACATCTTATTTAAAGTTCGCATTTGAAGGAAGGGTATTTTGGAATCTGGAAAACGTCTGCAAGAACGTGATTTTTAAGATCGTTCATGCAGCATCGTACCTGCCCACTGATTAAAGCTGCTTATAAGGCGTGCAACATGGTCAACAACCGCTGTAAGATTTTTATGTTCTATATGATGTGTTCCTGGAAGCGTAAAGAAATCCACGACTTCCCTCATGTGGGAAGTATACAGCACGTAGTCTGGAAACCCTATGCGCAGGTGCAACTGCAGGTCGGGTTCAAAACCACTTGATACATGGGAAAGTTTTTTAAGACCCAAGGATACCCTTTCTTAAAGCATAAAATTTGACGAGAAAATTTTTTACCGAATGGGTACAAGAATATTTTTGTGTATGTTTTCAGTAAAATATGTACAAATTTAAAAGGCCCGAAAAATCTATGCGAAAAACTCATACTACTTAAGTAGCCATGTTTCATCGATTGTGGTTTTTTCAGGGGGCCGGAGAGAAGCTCATTTAAAGGTCAGAATCCTGGCGTTACTGAAACATCATGAGATAAGGCTTCGAGATAACCCTCCAAGCAATCCTTTCCAGTCGAAAACGCTTCGAAATTTCAGTTACCATTCCACGAAATAGACCACCTACTGTAATTTCCGAAGTTCGATAGGTTGAAGCTTAGAAAACTTCGTAGCCGTCTTCTCCACCAATGCTTTTACCTAAGAAACTTAACTCACGCAGAATGATACGGCCACTGGATTGAGTTAAACAGCCAAGCTCCTCCATTCGGCATTTGGAAGCTTCATCGGCTCAGCTATTATGACGAAAATGTTTTCCTTTATGTCAATAAAATTATACTCAATCTACGAGGCCCGGTATTACATGAAGCTAGGGGACGCACATCGGACAGGTTTAAACAGAGCAGATCGCGGAGCATTGACGAATTTCATCAGTCCGGGATGAAAAAATCAATAGTTAGACCTACAGTCGGTGAAAGCTGATGATATGGCTAGTAGTAAGCCTCTTAGCAAGGAATTATCAGCAGAAAGTGAGAACACTCATGGGCCGATTAAAAAGTATGATTTGTGCCTAACGTAAAGCACGACAGATGGTCTGTATACGGAAAATATAAACAGACCATGAGGCGGCAATACAGCCGAAAACTGCACCAATACAGTTAAGACAAGCCGACGATATATACACGTCTTGAAGTTAGCGTACATAAAATGACGAAGAAAGGGTTGTAGGCAGAAAGGATGGAAACCATACACGACAAACCTTATTTGTTTGGACTTTTCCAGTATGTCCTTTCTCAACCGTACAATTATAGTATCCGACTTCGAGGGCTGACTTTGGTTCAGATATGGACTAGTCATAGTTGCGGTAGATTGCTTTTCAAAGACTTGCTTCTGGAGTTCATGGTGAACAGATGAAA